CTAAACCCAAAACCCCGAACCCCTAAACCCCAGAACCCTAAACCCCAGAACCCTAAACCCTAGGCCCTAAACAATAAACCCCAAAACCAAAAACCCTTTACCCTAAACCCCAAAACCCTAGAGGGACAGCCTGGGAAGGTAGCCCTGGCACCCCAAACTCCCCATCCTCAATGCCTCGAGACTCAACCCCAAAACCCGGGTGCAGAGTTTAGAGTTTAGGGTTGATAAGTTTAGGGTTCAGGGTTTAGGGTTTAGCGGTTAGGGTTAAGGGCCCTGTACCTGAAAGAAGACGGTAATGTGTGACGACTTGAAGGCATACCCTTTCTGACATATGGTGTTTCTTCAGCTAAGGGTCCATGCCTTATGAGGGCGATATACTGTTTCTATGATTTCTATGAGGGTTTATAGGGGCTGAGAATTAACAGGGTCGAGTCTTTGTCGCGTTTTACAAATTTTGTGAGCTCCCGCACATAACGAAAAGGTTAAGGTTTTAGAAGTTGGGGCTTTCGGGTTTGGGACCTCAGGGCAGATGGACAAGGTTGTCATAATCCGGGTGTAGCTCTTCCTACAAAACGCTTACATACATCCTCCGCACAGGCCCGGCGATCCTGCACATGTCCGACGTCCTTCTACATTCCCCAATAGTGCTTCGGTAACCCCCTTTGAACCAAGGTCGCACTTCTTCCTGCTATTCTTTGCTGCTTGTGGTCCCAAGTTGTAAAGGGAATGAGAGCACCTCTGGTAGACCTCAGCCCCCAAGACCGTCGAGAAAACCTCATACCAGGAGCAGTACTACCTCAAACCGGGTTTCGGGGTATGATTTGGGTTCGTTACAACAAGGATCCCTGCGGAAAAAATGTCAGTAATTATTACTTACGTCTTAGGGTTTAGGGACGGTTTAGGGTTTTAAGGTTTAGGGTGTAGTATTTATGCAAGGCTTCCCACGAACACGACCAAAAAGCAAACCCTCAAGCATCCACGCGAGTAAACCATAGCCATAGCTCGTAAGAGCATAGCAGCGCTTCCTCTTCTAGCTTCCAGAGAATGGGAGTTAGGATTAGGGGGACCCTCGGGGATACAGACCCTGCCAATAAGGTCCCTTTTAGGGAGCCAGAAGTAGGTTGAGAAGGGTCCCCGTCAAGGGGTCTCCCGAATACTACCTAGGACTTTGGAGACAGCTCATGCAGGCTTTACGGAGCTCCCCAGTCCAAACCCCCAAACCCTGCCCCAACCCTACACCCTCATGGTTTAGGGGTTGGGGGTTTCGGTTTTTGGGGTTTAGGGTTTTCAGTCCCAAAGCAAAAGAGCCCTGTACTGTAATCATTTCAGAGTTTCCGAAGAACAGGTTACACAGCTCAGCCGCCTCCACAGTAGAGCTTGTATACCAGGTTCCTTGACAGAGTTCCAACGGGCTCCGGGCTTTAAGGTGCAGGACCTTGAGGTTGAGGATATTTGGGGGTTCAGAGTTTGCCGGCTTCGACAAGCAAACCGGAAGGGTACGACGGAACTCCCAGCTGCAGAAGCCGAAAGCGAAATCGACGTTAGCCACCGCACTGTTCGCCGGCCGTCATCACCACTGCAGCTATAGTGGGAGCCTTAATAATTAGAATAGGGCTTTGGGCTCCTTAATGGTCTTATTATGATTATTCTTATTTATTCTAATAAGGAACCCCCAAAAAATGGTATGGACAGTTATTTAGGCAGCTGCCAAATGCAAAACAGGTGATGTAGGGGTCTTAATAATTACCTATCTTTTTTGGGGGGTTCCTTAATAGACCTATATATTTTAATGGGCCCCAAAACCCCATTCTAGTGATTAAGACCCCTATAGTGCGCCCTCTGAGTCCTTTCTAGAGGCTCGAAAAGCACCAACACCGTTGGCATAACCGAGCCATGCCTCATCACGGCTCAGATGACACCATAGACTCCGAATCCTAACCCAGAAACTCCAATATCCTTAATTGAGGAATATACCTTAAATCATATTAAAGATCCTACTATACTTTAAGGTATATTCCTTAATTAAGGGATATTGGAGTCTCTGGGAAAACCACAAGCCCTTCAAAATGAAGACCTCAACTAGCTGAGATGTCGACATGCCCTTGCAAGCCTCAGCCAACAGCCGCGGTTTAGAGCAGCAGCTTTGGAGATTCAGGGAAACCAAGATTCGTGGCTGCGAAGGTTTCATGTAATGCGGAGCTCTGCATAGTTGGTTAGACCATTTAGGTCTCCAGAGACCCTCTATAACGCCCCTAGGTTAGGGTTTTGGGGCCTTAGTTGTGCCAACTCAGGATTCTAGGGTCCGTTTGGGTCCCGGCGCTAGGCTTAAGGCTCGGATTTCGTAGTTGTTTATAACATGAATTTGGGATCGAGGGCGAGGGTCTCAGCCGAAATTGTGTCAGCATAGCACCGCTGACAAACAATGGTGACATGCCAAATAGATGAGGTCGTCATCACCGCCGATACCGTTCTTATCGTTCTCGTATTATCAGTGAAATTATAACCATCAACGCCACTTAGCCGTGCCGGTGCCAACAAGCTTCTTTTATGGCAGATAGCAGAAACATGCAGGGAGAATCGGAGAGGTGCGGTTTAGGATTTAAGGTGTAAGGGCTCCGTCTATTTCAATCACTTTCCCTCTTTGTCTCTGTTCTCCGTGTCTGTCTCTGTCTGTCTCTGTGTGTGTTTGTGGGTGTGTGTGTGTGTGTCTCTGTGTCTGTGCGTGTCTGTCTCTCTGTCTGTCCGTGTGGCTCTATCTGTGTGTCTCTGTCCGTGTCTCTGGCTGTTTCTCTCTGTCTCTCTGTAAAGCATCCTGGCCGCCCTCTACTCCGAACACAACACATGATTGTGCGCAATCTCGAGCATCAGTACTGAGCTGTCATCTGCTTACTATTGTAGTACTACTACTACTACTACTACTACTACTACTACTACTAACTACTATCCACTAGTAACTTTCTGTTCTCAATGTTGCTTTCTCCACAACGAAATTAAGTAAAACTGGCAAGACCCTCAACCCTAAACCTAGTAAGACCCTTAACCCGATGCCCTAAACACCCTTTCGTACCCTTGTAGGAAATCTTGATGAAACCCTTCTAGATCCTAGATCCCCTTTGAAGGAGCTCTACAACCTGATATCCGGAACCTGAGCCGCGCACCCAGAGATATACAGCGACATCGCCGGAAGATTCGCCGTCCGCCTGTCTGAGCGTACTCTGGGTTTTAGGGCCTATTGAGGGTTTAGGATTTAGGGGTACAGGGTTTAGGGGTTTAGGCATTTGGGGCTCAAGGGAGTTTAGGGCTTTTAGGGTTGAAATACAAAATAAACAAACCATCGTGGTTTAATGCCACGCCCCAACCTTCAGGGCTTTAGGGCTTTAGGGTTCAGGGTTTAAGATTCGGGTTCGGCTACTGTAGCAGCGCTGTTCACGACTGGGCCGCCTCCTCAGCAGAAACCTAATTCCACATCACCAACCGCTTTAGGGTTTGTTTAGGGTTTAGGGTTTAGGGCCCAAGCAAATCACCCTACGTTCCCGAGAAACCCTTTAACCCTGAAGGCACCCTTCTTGGTTGTATTTAAGTCTGAATCAGTAGTAGTGTTGAAAACCCGAAAATGCGCGTAAGGCGGCCGAGGGCTAACCCCACCCCAAAACCTAAAACCTAAAACCTACACCCTAAACCCCTAACCCCTAACCCCTAACCCCTATATAACCCTAAACTATATAACCCTAAACCCTAAACCCTAAACCCCTAAACCCTAAACCCTAAACCCTAAACCCTAAACCCTAAACCCTAAACCCTAAACCCTAAACCCTACAACCTACACCTAAACAGGAAGCAAAGTCCGAGGCGAGCACCCCCCAGTCTGATGGCCTGGCTGTCAGGATTTATCTTAAGGCTTAGGGTTCAGGGTTTAGGGTTTAGGGTTTAGGATTTAGGATTTAGGGTTTAGGGTTTAGGGTTCAGGGTTTAGGGTTTAGGGTTTAGAGTTTAGGATTTAAGGTTTAGGGTCTAGGGTTTGGGGGTTAGGGGTTTAGGGGTTTAGGGTTTATAGGGTTTAGGGTTTAGGGTTTAGGGGTTAGGGTTTAGGGCCCCGTGGTTCAGTAGAAATCAGGGCATATACGGGTCTTTGTTCTGTGGGATATTATTCTCTTTACGGCTTCGCAGTTGTCGGGCCTAGGATGTACGGCTAGGGGCTTACAGGGTTTAGGTTTTAGGGTGGCTTCCTGTGGGATATGCTCATGGCAGAGTTTGCAGCGGTATGGCTGCTGTTCTTTGTAGGTTCAGGTTCCGGAAGGGCTTCTAGTGGTTAGGGTTATCGACAAGCATTTTTTCCGACAGTGGCCGCGCCTGTACAGCTCTGGGAGTTTGCCAGCTCAGTTTGCTTGCCAGCTCGGTTACATGCCAGTTTGTGCATGCAACAAACTGCCCGACTGCCCGAATGATCTGTACAAAGCTAAATGACGCTGCCACATGAAACAGGGCTGTCAGTACTACTACGGTGTACACTCAATAGCTGTCAAAGGGGAGCCTGTGAATTTACCCCCCACCCAAATTATCATCCCGAACGCAAGCGCTACCGTGCAGAACCGTGTTTCGGTTTGATGTAAAACAGCTTCGATCGAACCAGCTAGCAGCTGCAAAATCCTAGCCTGGCCTGAAACCCCCAACCCCAGAAGCAGAACCCAAGTAGTCACATTACGGTCTCGGCGAATGCGAAGGTCTCTACAAGCAAAAACACCTATGCTTGCACTGAGGGTTTTCTCAGGCAAAAAGTCTCTACCGCTCAAAAAATGCAGATGTAATTAAATACGTAATGCAGGGGCCTTCATGATTAGAATAGGGCTTTGAGGCCCAATCAACTACAAATATAATAAGGAAACCCCAAAATATCATAAGTGATTTATTAGACCCCCCATATTACATCTACTCTGAAGCATCATTTAGATGCAGAGGAGAAAAAATGTCACTCTGAAGAATCCCAGATGTCTGTCCCCGTTTCACGGCAGCTCCACGGGACCGCTAGCGAGTGCAAGACGTCTTGAAGTGATCAAGTCGAAAGCTTCACAGCGCAGCTGTGGCTGAAGCGCAGACAAGGTGGGGTCGTCGCCTTCGCTGTCGCAGTGTCTCACTCTGGGCTTCAGAGATGTAACAGGGTGTAGGGCTAAGAGGACCCTAATTTAGAGAACTACCCATTTACAGTCATCCTACTACGACCAATGCTGCCCTTTTTAGTGAACTTACAAGTGAACTCTGACTAAATCCTGCTTTTGCTATTGCCGCTGTCGTGGCGACACGACTACTACTGCAACTGCTACAAGTACGACACTGCGCAGGCTAACCTGCTAGCTGTATGCATTGTGAGACTCTCTACATCTGCACCTGTTCATGAATGCTTATTTTGCCAGTTCCCTCCCTCTCCGTGCACCTTCACGCCGGTGTGCATGTCTGCACGACATTGACTTTTGATGTGTCTCCCCAGCATAAAACCCAATCTAAGGTACACACTCACAAATTCTCAACAGGGGCCCTCCCTACACCCACCAAATCCCTGATATAAGCCCGAACACATGGACCCTAACAATACTTATGGTTAGACTAGAAGAGTGTGGTGGTCCCTTATTGTATCAGTATAACAAAGAATCCTTGGAATACCATCTTATGCCCTAAACCCTAAACCCTAAAACCCTAATCTCGGCATGCGGCCCACATCTTGGACGATGTCTTCCAAGACGAGGTCGACGATCCTTGGGTCTGACGGTTCAGGGTTCAGGGTTTAGGGGAAAACCCTAAACCCTAAACCCTAACCCCCAACTCCTGAACCTGAACCAGGGGTTAAGGCTCTTTTTCTTTTTTGAGGGCCTTTTTCTGCAGCGAAGTCCTAAAGGGCTAAGGTTCAGGGCATAGGGCTCACAGTTGAGGGGTTTAGGGGTTTAGGGGCTTTGGGTTTAGGGGTTTAGGCTAACGTTTAGGGTTTAGGGGTTTGGGGTTTAGGGTTTCGGGGTTTAGGGGCTGAGGGTTGTGGGCTTAGGGAATGCGGCAGCCGTACTCCCTCTCGTCAAGACCCCAAGGTATCCCTGATCCAACTGAGATAAACCTTTGCCAAGTGGTATGTTGTTTATTACTCTTATCTCCTCGACAAAGCCGACGGAAGCCGACGTATACACTTACCAATGCTCCGGGTAGCCCCACTCACGCTCGCCAAAAACCCTTTGTTCACTTTACAACCCTCTCTTTCACATAGAGCCTTAGAATCCCGGCTGTTAATCAAGCCTCTACATCAGCAGACTTCAAGCCCTCAACCCTCGCGCAGTCGAACGATTGTGGCCCAGGAAATGTAAGGTGCTGCTGCGGGGCGCCTCCCAGTTGTCTGGCAACTCCAAACTGCCCACCTGCAGCCCTAAACCCGAAACCCTAAACCCTAAACCCTAAACCAAACCCTAAACCCCACTAATTAACATACAAGTGCAGGGAATGTATTGCCATGAAGAGGAAACTGCTTTGGGCTGCAGGTCAGGGTTCGGATT